CGTGCCATCCCTTAGAAATAGAAAGAGGCAGACATAATAATATCCCTAGGGAGAGCCGTATTTGTCATTTGTGCCTGCAAGAAATTGATGATGAATATCATTTTTTACTAAAATGCACTGCATGGGACACAATTAGGAAAAAGTATCTTCCAAATGAGACACAACCCCCAAATTTGAATACTCTAGTACAACTATTAAGTTCCTCTCAAAGCCAAATCATTAACTCTTTGGCTCTATTTATTTATAAGTGTTTTTTAATCAAAGATCAAATGAGAATAACCTAATAAGCTTGTATGTATATATATATTAATATCCCCATCACATTATTATATAGGGCTTATATTTTGTATTGACACACTCTTCATCTATATTTTCATACATATTTTGTAATGTAAATTTATTTCTTGTCAATAATTAATTTGCATGATTGTAATGGGCCGGAGGCCATTATACAATTAATAAAAAAATTATTATTATTATTATTATTAAGGCATCATGAAGAAGGAGCAGCACAGGGAGTCTGCAGAAAATCTTCATCTTGATAACAGTATGGAGGTGCTACAATGGCCAAGCTAGAGCGCAGACCTGAATCCCATTGAAAACCTCTGGAAAACCCTCAAGAAAAGGGTGCATACCCACAGGCCCTCCAACATGACAGAACTAGAGATCATAGCCAAGGAAGAGCGGGCCAAAATTCATGTGGAGCTCTGCCAAACTCTCATGAACAGCTTTAGAAACTGCCTGGATGCTGTGATCAAGAACAAACTTTAAGGCTTTGCAATTGACTATTGACTGTGATATTGCCTTTTAAAGACATTGTTTAACTCTGAACATGCCAAAGTTGCACTTATGCACCACACAATACACATGTCTATAGAGCTGTAATTTCTGTGGCTCTTTAAGAGTTAACATCATGGAGGAATTTCTGTTTTGAACTTTGATGTTCTATGTTGTATAATGATGTTCAGGATAAACAGCCAGGAATATAGAAAAGTTTTGAAATTGGTGCAGTCACTATCTAAAAATCTATGACTGAAGATCACCACTGAATAAAGATGCTGTCAGCGCATTTATTACACAGTAGTCTATGGGGGAAATTAGTAAGATGGTTCTGGGCCATTCTGGCCACTTATTTTCAATCTTCACTCTGAAGCACTTAATGATGTTTTTGAAGTACAATTTTTTCCAGGGCTTAATTTCTGCACCTTATTATATACACTGATACCAGTTAGGACTATGCAGTTCAGATTTGTGTAAAATGAAACAGTATTAAACAATGCCTTTACAGTTTTATTGACAAAGGGTATGAATAATTTTGAGTGATTCAAAATACAAATAAAGTAATATTCTTTTTGTTATGCAAATGAGGTTGTACAAAACCCATTCAGAATTTTTACCTTTCAAGTAAAGGTATCCAATTACGGCCAAAATATTCTGTGTCCACCTGTCGTTTTCCAGAAAAACGTGAAACATTGACATTTCAGTAGGGGTATGAATAATTCTGTTTTTAACTGTATATGTTTCATGTTTAACATTTATTACATACTGGTAATGCTTTCAAATACTTGTATTAAAGGTTGATTTGGGTCTACAAAACACTCTCCAAACAGAAAAACATTTTCCTATCTACCATATACATGAATAAAATGATGTGTGTGATGATGGAAAAGAAAATCTTTTTTTTACCCTTAATACATGTTTAATATTCCTTTTCATTCTGTTGTCATTGCAACTACTTATCATGTTCCAATTACGGAATGAACACCTATAAAGTACAAATTTTATCTGTGTCCAAATCTAACTACTGATAATTAGACTACAACTAAAGAACACAGTCAAGTTAAATATTACCCAATTTTAGAAACCAACACTTTAACACAATCCATATCAATGGCTCTAAATGTTGCTTATAGCGTATGCAATTTGTGCTCAAATATCAACAAATTAAAGTATGTGGCTTATTAACATATTAAAGAGGTGTAAATTGATTAATTACCTTATTAATTTATTATTTTGTTTCCCATAATGCAGGCATATATATAAGTTTGAAAAGACCTGGTAATAATACTGGTATTCAGAACATGCAATATATTTCAAGAAAAATATGGCTGTGACTGAATTGCATAATGTATTGGGTTTATTGATAAGGAATTGAGCTCTTGCTTATTCAAAATTATAGGTTTTTGTGCTCTATCATGCTCTGGCGTTAATTAAAAGGTACATTACTGGTATAAAATGTATGGTGTACATGTAGTTCATAAGTTTTTAAGAACACCTTGAATTTAAATACAGTTATACCACTCTTGGTCATGTGACATTGTAAATGGGATTGTGTTTATTTCCATGACCCACACTAGATAGTCTGTCTTTATGCAGAATGTAAACCGATATGGTTGTAACTGGTAGCTCACATATTTTGTAATATATAATAACCAATTAATGAGTGGTTGATGCAGATGCAGGGATTATCTCTTGACATATTGTGGACTATTTGTAAGTTTCAAGTGTTCACCGTATATGATGGCTTAGTATGTCCCATTGTAGCAGCAGCACAGTGGATACTAAATCTGTACATTATCTCCAAGCTCATCTCTTAAATTCCATTTTCTCAGAAATAATAAGCTGTTCCATCATCGTCAACAGTATCTGTGGATAGTTTTACCATTCCGGAGGCTCTGCTAATTCTGGATACGTCTGGTATGCGGCAAACCTACCAGCATATATCACACATCCCCATGCGAAAAGCACCAAAGCTGCTAGGAACTGAGAAGATGAGGTTTATATATTAACAACTGGTAATATGGTGTGACACTTTTTTTTCAACAAAAATTATATAGGCAACACTTTTGACATTGAATGTCAAGGGTGCATGCAGATTGCAAGTACAAATGTTGACAGCCAGAGTGTTTTTGTTTTGTTTTTTTGTCGTTACTGGTACATTGCCCTCAACAGTATTATTAAATACAAGGGCATAAACTGGAGAAACTTGGCCGTGTGGGTTGTACCAGCTCATATTCAAGACTGGTAATTAAAGTCCTGGCAAACTATATATATATATATATGTAATGCTCCTAGATGAAAGAGCTCCACAAATGTAGGAAAATGCAATTTACTTTTTTTTTTTATAATACTTTTCATTCTTTAGATATTCAACTTTTCATTAGTATTGTGTAGTCTGGCATCTTGATTCTCCAGCAAAGGATTATTGGTAAAGTGTGACATCATAGTCACTGTTGTGAAAAAATGACTTCCTCTGACTGTGTGTCTTGTTCACTGTCACTTGTTTCATGGGTAATGTAGAGCTGAAACCTCTCAAAATGCAGGGAATGACGTTTCAGAAGGTCTAGATTTTTAAATTGTTAAGGGGAGCATGCCCCCCCCCCCCGAGCAGATCTCGTCCCCTCATGCACAATTTCGTGCCGCGGCCTCTGTAGAGGGATTTTCAATTGAGACAAGAGTTCCTTATGGTCCCCTCACGCACAACTCTAATCCTATTCCTGCCCCTCCATCCACTACCCCTCCTTCATTTATAATAATAACCTTTATTGATATCGTATCCGCTATAGGATTTTGACTAAAATACAATAAAGTTTAATTTGGAGGGGCATATTGAATTACATTTGGGGGTCGGATTGTTAGGGTTAGGGTTCAGGTTATGGGTGAGGGGGCCTGAAGGAACTCTTTCCCCAATCGAAGGGGGGGGGGGGTATAATCCCTCTCGAGCCAAGGAACAGCGAAAACAGTTTTTAATTAAAGTACATCTGACATCCACTTACCAAAGCAACTATGATTTCCGTGGCTTTCTTACTCACAATAATATCCATGGTTTCTATGTCACAAAGTCATGATAATGTCAGTATGTATTAAAAATCATGGACCATAACAAATAAATAACCAACGGCTACAAACTATGCCAACAGGCAAAAAGGAGCTTGTCTTTTTAACTACACCGTAAAACACTCATCATGATTGGTTATTGTGTCAACGAATTCAATAAACGACCAATCATAGTCATTGTTACAAGTAACCAAATATCGAGTTAGCCTTCGCGCATGCGCTTGTCAGGTATTGTCAGGCAAAATGGACGACTGGGTTGATGAGTTCGTTCACGATCATATTATTAAATGATAAGGTGAGTGTCTAACGGTGAGAATTAACTGAGGAATATAGCAAGACACAGTCAAATGACAACAAATCATTGCCTATACACGTCACGTTATCATTCGTTTATTTATATGACTCACTTCTCCTGCAATGTCATGATGAGTACTACGGAAACAGATGAACTATCATTCTGAATATGGTGGACTCCTTCCAATCACAAAATCCGGCGAATACATCAGACCTGGGGAAAATGTAGGTCTCGAACGCGACAAAGACACTCAATACGGAGATGTGTTTCAATAGATAACCCAAGGATCGTGTGAAATATATGAGGTATGTGAGCACGTAGAACAATCCAGCAGCAAACTACTGTTTCGCATTTTGAGGGTGGGTGTGAGTAAATTCTCCTCAAATGCAGCATGCAGAGCTGAACTTTGTAAATTTCCATTACTCGTAGATATTCAGAAAATCTCATTAAATACTGGTATCGTATTAGTGCCTTACCAGACTGTAATATTACAAAACAAGCCTTTGAAGAACAAAAACAACAAAATTGAAATAGGTTTACATCAGTAAAAAATATGGTCTCCGAATATACTACAAACTTGTCGCGTCTGTCATACCTCAAAAATTACCACACAGTAAAATAAAAAACTTACGAAAAAACATCCGACAAAGGTATGTAGAGTTCTGGAAGTTGAGTGTAACAAATGATAATAGAAAACTGAGAACGTATATCAAGTTTAAAGACTCGTACACTTTTGAACCATATTTGCTCTTATGTAATCTGAAACATAAAATCATAATGACTCGTTTCAGAATAAGCAGTCATGTATTAGAAATTGAGAATGGTAGACAGACCCAACCCAAAATACCTTAGAAGACTATGTAAGCAATGTTTCCAGATCAAAATTGAAAATTTCTTCATGGAATGTCTTAGGTACCAAACAGAAAGACAAAAGTTATTTAATAATATCAATATTCCAGAAGAATTGAAAAGTGATGACCAGATATTTAAATATATTATGAGTTCAATACTCATACTAATAAGACAGGTTGGTGAATACTTATACAAAATATTTGGAATCAGAAATAACAATAACTGACATTTTACTTTAGTTTTATATGTATTGTACTTTATTACTAACATTTTATTGCTGTCAACCAATGGAAAATATTTCTAAGGATGCAATAAATTCATTATTATTATATTATTATTATATTGGTTTATGGCTGGTTTATGAATAAAAAAAAGACGCTCACCAAAACAGTGACCCACTCAATTATTAGGCTTCTTTTTATCTAATTATGTGGAATTTTTGTAATACTTTTCAAGTTAATGCACAACAATTTTGAGCGCTATCAATTGACTCTGCTACATGTAGTCTCTGACAAGCTTTGGCCATCAAACAGTCATTGGTGTGAAAAGCGCTTGAATCAAAGGAGACTCATACCTATATACAATGTACATGTATAATTATAAAATGCTGTCTGCAGTCCTTGTAAGAGGTGAAAATGATGTTCTGTTCAGTGACTGACTCTCGTTACTGTGATCAGAAATTCACGGTGATAATTAAATTTTTTACATGTATCGCCTTTGGTTCGACTGAAAGAGCTAGTCGAAAGACTGGACACTTTTTAAAACTATTATTATTATTTTCCAGCCCGGTGTGCATTGGAAATAACAGTAGATAAGTTAGGAAGTTGAATCCTGTTGTTTTTAATGTCAAGGTCACCAAGGGAGCCGTAAATATTTTCACACTTTTGCATGATTGTATTCATTGACAAATGTTGGGCATTGGTGTCTATCTCTGATGTACAGGACCATTATAATGCTTATCTTTTATAAAGGATTATTTTTTAAATTATAATGACAGCTATGTATACATATGGTAGTACATTGTACATGTAGGAATGTCTGATCCAATCGCAGAATTGTTTCACTGTAAACAAATTTAAATGTTTTTGCTATTTAAAATAAATGCAGAATTCAAATAAATATGTGGCTATTGCCGGTCATTACAACACTCATATCCATTTTATTTATTCTCAACATATTTGATACACATACATTTTATTTGGTGATTTACTCAAATAAAAGTTGAAAGCCTATCAGTAGTACAGCCGGTATAATGTTGTATCACTTAGGATCTGTGATTGAATGGGTGGTGCATGTTTATCAACACATCGTGACAACTAGTGTGACTTATTGCATTTAGAGCAATCAATGTCATACATGTTTATAATAATTATCGGCTACATTGTCTCAGACTTTCTTTGAGTCAGTGTGTGTTATGTCTAGACACTACTTTATTTTGGTTCCTTTAATTAAAAATACAAATGGTGTCACTATCCATTTGATGAACTGCAATGAATTTTGCTGTATTTTCAACATATTTGTTACCTCCATATTTTATGTAATTAGTAAGCTACATGTATATGCAAGCCCGAACACAAGTCTAGCTGATTTGCGTACATGTGCATGTGGCATATAGACAAAATTGTGCCTCACCTTTTCGACTCGCAACTACCCTCCAGAGGCACCCTTACATACATCCTCTCCTTCTCATAACCTATTTCCAACTCTTATAGAGCATACACCAGATGGTCTGTAATAAGTAGCATACCTAACTCAATGGTTTATTTACCACCCCTTCCCCCAACACACACACCGTATTTGCTCGATATGAAGTGCATAACCATAATTATGTGCATAAAACCAAGAATTTTATTTAATTTAATTTATAAAGGGTCATTAAAGTATGACTTCTTATACTATAACTGTATTTGCATTGTGTGCATGGCTTCAGTTACCAAAACTAAGTAATAAACTATCAATCGTAATCATACAGCTACCAGTTTTGTCCCAAGATAAAATGTTAAATGTAAAACCCTTACAGAAATAGAAAGTTCTACATTTTGACCACGATATCTGACCTAAAACTAATATGTTTTATACTTTAATTTCAGGTCCATTAAAAGAACTACTACTTAAAGACTATACACCATGGCATCTAAAAGGAAGTTGCGTTCTATCAGAAAGAAACCTGCACAATTTCAAGAGGAGGAACCAATGGACATGTCGCCTGATAGTACTCCAAAATCACAGCATAGTACATGCAGTAAAAGGGAGAAAAAAAAGACTTCCACCAAGGCTAGCTCACCAACTCATAGTGATGGATCTAAGTCACCTGAAAATAACTGTTCCATCTGTCTTGGAAAGTTTGAGAATAAATCGTTTACCGATGGTTGTTTTCACACGTTCTGCTTTGTATGCATCATGGAATGGTCTAAAGTTAAAGCGACATGTCCATTGTGCAAAACATCCTTCAAATCGATTATTCATAACATTAAATCCAATGAGATGTATGATCAATACTTTCTTTCATCATCTAGAAGTAATACACTCAGTGATGAAATTACCAGGCAGCGTTTCAGATATAGTACAACTCTTGCTTCTGTACGAGACAGAGCACTGGCTCAACAAAGACGACAATTGCCTTCCACTCGAGCAAACACTCGTGCTTATAGAGAACAGCGTGAGGCAGCTGCTATTGAAAGACGAAGACAGGTCTATGCTCTTGGTTTACGAGCACAGACTGAATCGTCTATGAGACGTACTTGTTACAGGGATATATCTAGCACATTTTTTCAGCAGAATGCAGCCTGTTTGCATCGATTGGTGCCATGGTTGAGGAGAGAACTCAATGTCTTGTTTCAGAATAATGAAGACCTTGTTATGTTTATGATAAACCTAATCTTGTCATACATCCCTGTCATGGACATGGAGGGCCCTGAATTTTTTGACAACCTCAGACCATTTATGTATCACAGAACTGAGCAGTTCATTCGAGAACTAGTAAACTTTGCAAGATCGCCCTATGATATGAATGGTTATGATCAACACACACAGTATGATTTCCTTTCCAATCACCAGTCACCGGAAAGCCCTGTCTCTGCCAGACACCAAACTAATTCGAGATCAGTGCCACTCATTGATTTATCTGATGTTTCAAGTGATAGCTCGGATGGTGTGATGCCACTAGCTTTGGATTATTCAGGTCATACATCCGTGTCTACCATTACCACAGACGACCAACCTTCTACTTCAAGTATGGCCGTGAAAAACGAACTTTCAGAAACTCACAATCCGGAGCCTCCAAGTGACAATGATAGCTCTGATGAAGTTATGTTTGTTGGTTTTGTCAAATCCATTAGCGAACGCTCTCCAGATGCAATCATAACGTTGTCCTCTGATTCCGACAAAGAAGGGAAAAACAGTAGAGAAATCGCAAAGACAGTTAAATCAAAGCAAAAGTTAAAAAATTCAGAGAAATCTACAAGTAAAAGTAGGAAAGGTAGAACACGTAGCAAAAGAGATAGGAGTTATGATAGATACAGGAGCTGTAGTTCCAGTCAAGACAGAAATCGAAATAGAAGTAGTAGCCACAGTGATGAATCACATCGCAATAGGTACCTTGACAACAGAAATAAACCAGGGGGTAAAAGAAAACGAAAAACAAAACATGTGGAAGCACCTCATTATGAATATGTACGATATCATGGATCTCGTGGTGCGTACACTTATTTTTCATCTGATTCTGATTCTGATCATGAGCCATCAAGAAATTATTACTTTTCTAGTAAATCATTTAGGCCTACACATAATAGGTACAGTCGGTCCAGGTCTAGGTCAAGGTCTCCACTCTGGACTAGTCAAAGACAGTACAGATCAAGAGGTAGAGCATCGTATCATGCTCATGATTTAGATCGCTCTAGTAATAGCTCTGCTTACAGTCGACATTCACATTCCTCCGTCATGTCATCATATTCAAGTTCACGTTTTCAGAGAACTAGAGGTTGTTCGCGTTCACGCTCTCGGTCAAGATCTCCCAGGTCTTTCAGGCGTAAGCATCGTCACCGCAGCTCTAGTGTTGAGTTTATGGGTTCATTTAGCAGACAGGAACCCCTGAAAGACATTTACACATTAAAACAAAAAAGCTTATACCACAAGAAACGACATACCACTCGATATACAAGTGACTCAGATATTGAAGTCACATATGAAAGAAAAGAGAATCACTATAAGGACAAGAGTAAGAAAAGAAAAAAACATGGTAAACACAAACGAAAACACAAACACAAAAGCAAGAAACACAGACGTGACAAGGAGAGACATAGGAATGCTGAAACATGTCTAGTAAAACTCTCGGATACAGAGAGCAATACAACAGAGCCAGCTGCAAACAGTGAGAACAAACGAGAAATTGAAAGGGTGGGTTCTTCTGGTCCTAACAGTTCATCGGAAGATAAGAATAAAGAAATTGAAATTGATGTACTGGAAGTGACCAATGAAGAGCAACATGAGGATGAATCTGTAGGGAGTGCAGTTGATACTAATGGAGAACAGCTACCACATGAACCCGGAGATTCCAACACTGCTGAGTCCAGAATAATAGATGAACCAGGTGATGCCAATGTGTCCAACATAGCAGATGAACCAGGAGATACCAACACTGCTGAGTCCAGCATAACAGATGAACCAGGTGATTCAAACACTGCTGTGTCCAGCATAACAGATGAACCAGGTGATTCCAACTCTGCTGAGTCCAGCAAAGCTGACAAACCAGGAGATTCTGACATTGCTGTGTCTAGTATAGCAGGATCTAACTCTGGAGAACAGCTACCAGATGAACCAGGAAATTCCAACACTGCTGAGTCCAGCATAACAGATGAACCAGGTGATTCAAACACTGCTGTGTCCAGCATAACAGATGAACCAGGTGATTCCAACTCTGCTGAGTCCAGCAAAGCTGATGAACCAGGAGATTCCGACATTGCTGTGTTCAGCATAGCAGGATCTAACTCTGGAGAACAGCTGCCAGGTGAACCAGGAAATACCAACACTACTGTGCCCAGCATAACAGATGTACCAGGTGATACCAACACTGCTGTGCCCAGCATATCCGGATTTAACTCTGGAAAACAGCTACCTGATAAACCAGGAGATTTCAACATTACTGAGCCCAGTATAGCTGGATCTGGCTCTGATATGTCATCTGATGTCTTAATGTCACAGCAAGATTTGTCAATGAATGTGTTGTCTACCACAGAGTCCCAACAGAATTCTGATGGTATTCAACTGCATTCTAAGGATATAATTGCAGAACTGTTAGGAGATTTAAGTACAAGGACAAACAGTGATTGTGAGTCTGAAAAGGACAGCCAAGTAGGGGAACACAACCCAGATGTCACAGCGTTTGATTTGTTAGTGCAGGCGGAGAGAAAAAGACTCAAACAGCTGGAAATGTCAAACTTGTTATCAGATGCATGTGACAGTGATTAGAGTATGTGATGTTGATCAGTGATTAGACAGTGTATAGTTGCATATGAATCATGGAAAACAAACTGAACTGCTTTTTATAATTTTAACTAGTTGCAAGTAAATAGAAATTAAACTAATCTGAACTTGGTCCCATATCTGAACTGACATGTTATACCACAAAGAAAGAAAAAAATTCCAAGAAAATAATAATTTATTGCATCTTTAGAAATCAAATTTCTATCAGTTGACAGCAGTAATATTTGTTAAATTTAGTTTATTTAGTACAGATTAATTGTCATGAACTCTTACTGGAGCCAAAATATGACATAGAATGCTTTCATAGATATTGCTTAGTCATCATGTAGTCTACTACTTAGTTGAATGCATACATCTTGTTTACAAACAATCCATTCAATAACTCTACTGGTTTCCTCGTAACACTGTAAAATTGTGTAAACATGTCACAGACTGGCCAATCGCATCTAGATGTGGTGCGTCCAAAACAAATGTTTCTGGTCATTTTTTCCCCTCCAAAACTGATGTAGGAATGAATTATTTTTGGCGTGATTGAATCACACTGTTTATCCACCGATTTCGATGAGAAATTACAGTTCTTGTACAATCTATCAGTAACCTCAATATTTTGTTATGTTTTAGCTCTAATTTTTGCCATAGAGGGTGTACTTTTATTGAGTTTGAATGTAAATAAAAATGCACCGAGTTGTGTAGTGACCAGAAACAATGTTTTATTTGCTTAAAGTGGAATTAAAGTATAAATTCAAAATGCATGAGCATGGTTAAAGTAGTCATATCAAATAATGCATTTCAAAATAATAATCATGTACAACTTTTTATTTTATTTTGTAATTGTCAACAAGTTGCTGCTGAGCATTTTACAGAAGAAATTTTTATAATGACAAATGTGTGTGCTGAATTTGTTCAATATGTAGTGAGAACCGTTCAGTGCCTACTTTCCAGTTTTGTCATAAAATGATACTGCTGGCAGGCAAAAAGTAGGCAAAGTCAGGTTACTTGAAATTATTTTTATTTAGCTTCATTGAGAAAGCAAAAAAACTGCTTACCAACATGATTGATGATTATTAGTGTCCTGAAAATTGGGAGTCTGCAACATTTATGGAGTTGCAAATGCACTTGAATGTTTTCAGTATCTAAAATTGAACAGTTCACAGTATACCATCTTCTAAATTTGTTTAAGTCTAAAAATAGATATTTGCGAGCAATGTGTGTCATCAGGTAATGGTTATTTTACTCTATGTATGAATAAACCTGAAACAGTTAAACAAGTGATCACTCTGTGCAATTTTTGAATTTTATGCTTTTTTTTGTATATGTATATTTTTGTATTTGTACCATTGTTTATGGCACATAGAAATCCTTATCAAACATTGTGCTCACCTTGGAATAATTGTTTGATATGGTTCCATACAATATATACCATGTGTGAAATATAGTGTTTGTACAGAATTCAAAGGATGCAAGACTACTATCATCCTCAAAATTAAATTCTATTGGAATGGCAACTTTAGTAAAATTAATGTAAATTAGGGAAGGGTCAAAGGGTAAAAGCCATGCATCAATAGAGAAAATCACAGTGTCTTTACAACTGATGCTGAAAACAATTTGACAGAAATGCTTGTGACTTGCATGCCAGGGAATCACTGTAACCGACATGGTTTTATTGATATACAGGTAGTATTGACGATGACTTGTACATATGAATAATGGTTTAAACCAAATAAAATCCATGTGTGGTGGGGTGCCAACTTTCAAAGCTATACATATGTATATATTGTACACATGTGGTTATAATACAAGTACTGCCACCAGCATGCTTTTCTCAGGTAACTTTAAATTTTGGGAACTTTTTTTAAAATTTGTATCAATTTACCTATCAAGTATGCTCCAATACTTACAAAGCTTGCTTTCGTATTTACCGAATACACATGTACTGGTAGATACCTTGGATGGTTCTAATATTTGTTCATCTCATGACAGTATCTCAGATTTCTATTTTTAGAGAGTGTTGGCCTGTTTGCTTTTTTATTCACAATGCAGCACCATATTTCTGATATTGGTAGTGTTTGTACTTGTGTAAACAACATAACTGCATTTGTGTGATCCAAATAATGTTTTATTTAATATTCTTTATACAAAAATGCCACTCGTTGGTTTACATTAATATGTAATATGGTTCTCTCAAATTTCATGATTATATTTTTGATTTTTTTTTTTTTAACATAAACTGTCATTTTAAGTCAGAATTGATATATTGGGTTACTACATACATTTACATAACAAAATTTTCATTAATTTGCAACTTCTAAATAAAGCTTTATCATCAACTTCATATTCTAACCAATCAAGTGTTTTCTCATTTAGAATATGGTCTGACAAGGCATACCAGTCTGCACACTGTTTACTAAATATATTTTGCAGTGGTTTTGACTTGCTAATTGATATAAGAAACTTTCTCACAGACACAAATATTAATGTAACATTTTCTGTATGAATATTAGAGGCAGGCAATAGCAAAATAGCTTGTCTGAGTTTTGTGATGAACTGCCACATGGATTCTATGGAAAGGCCAGTTTACTGTGCATGTATAATTTCTCGATGTCTGTTGAAGGAATTTCTCCATGGGTTCTACACATATAGCAAGTATTCACATGTGTATCAAATATATTGTTACATGAAATACTGTATTTGCTTTATTAGAAGCACATGTATACAAAAAATAGCATTTATTGTAGCAAATTTTCAAGGTTTTACGTTAATGGTTTACTGCCTCTAGGAGAGAGAGGGTTGAAGGGATCATGAAAGCATGGTTACTATTTTTTTTTTAGTAACCGTGATGAAAGGACACACGTCTTTCAAGTAAGCAAATATGCTTCCAATATAGCAAATACAGTACATGTGGCCATAACTACATTGTACCACCACTCTTTACGCATTTGTTAATCCCATTTAACAAAATGGGAGTCTGTCTGTGTCTGTTCCACTGATGTTCAAAGAACCTTTTACCTAATTTGCATAATAATTAGGAAATTGTTGGCGTTGCCACTGATATCATCTAATCACATTTCAATGAAACTTGGTAAATAAATTATAGAACAATGCAAAGGTTTCAGGTTAAATCTGTGGATATTAATTACTTAATTTGCATAATAATTAGTCAGTTTTTAGCTTTTCCGTCAATATATCAAGTACTTACCTTATTTCAATGAATCTTGGTACATAAATACTCTAAGACAATCTAATTGGTTTGGGGTTTACATACATCCATAATTATAATTACCTAATTTGCATAATAACTTACTTTTTGGCTTTCCACTGATTTTTTTTAAGAATTAATCATCATACTATAATAAAACTTGGTACAATATGTGCCCTGGAACAATACACAAATTTAAAGTTTGTTTTCACATTGTGCATCTCAAATAGACAAATATTAGTTGCCATGCTTATTGTTTGAAAGCACACAGTTCACCCTAAGCTTTCTTTGATTTGGTCTGTTCGTGGTCTTGTTTTAAATGCATTTTCTGTGCTACTCCAACTAAACTAGTTACATTTTTAGCTCTGCTGTCATCGAAGATGATCTAGCAGAGTTCATGGGTTGACTGGACCTGATGTCGTCTGTCGATTGTCAACTTTTTTTCAAGCGACTTCTCCAAAACCATAAGCTAGATCACCTTGCTATTTATAGCACAGCTACTTGGGGTGGTCCTCTGTCAGATTGTTTATTTCATGAAATCACTTCCAAATCTCTATTTTTAGGGAATTTGGGTTTTTTGTTCATTTTTTTCCTTCTCCAAAGCCGCCTGCCAGATTCATAATGTAGACACAGGAATGATCATCTTTCAAATTTATTCATTTGGTGAAGATATCTCTATTTTTTGTGAAAGTTGTGACTTTTGTTGTTTATTTTTTTCCCCCCACTTTCCCCATATGTTGTATATGGGCATGTATAATGCATGGACTGTGATAGACAAGTTTATTGTTTGGTTCTGAATTATCAGAGCCAATGTTTTTGAAAATGTTGAATTTCAGGTCAAGATCATTTATATGTTTTGCTGCTATTAGAACAACTGTAACAGTTGGAAGGTAGTTTTTTTTCAGTACACATTGTGTTGGGTACTGAAATACGTGGGCCAATGTTTTCTATGGTGTTTTTCAGTACTTGCACATTGTGTTCTGAACTGAAATGTTGAATTTCAGGTCAAGGTCATTGCAATGTTCAAGTTGAGGTCAAGGTGTTTTTTTATGGTGCCAAACTTAATCAACATCACTAAACCCTACGTTTCTGATCGCAAGGTTGCTTGTTATCTGACCCATTCCAAACTTTAAATATTCAAGTTCAATCTGGGACAGTTCACTGTATGGACAGATATAGAATAATATTTTTATTTTTTTTTAATCCCGTTATAACACGTGTATTCAAAAATTACAGTTGGCAAATGGGTTTTCAAGAGTGGAGACAGTGTCAGTCTTGGTTTTGATTTTTGACTTCAGCCCAAAATGGCAAATGGATGACAAAATGTGATTAGTGTTTGTTAAGTTTCCACACAGGATAAACACTGTATATTACACATGTAAGATATTTACCCATGTGATAAGTTTAAACAGAATACACAGTGCAATAATAGTGTCAAATTATTTATAATATGCTCTGTACAAATGAGTTTTATTTTATAATATAAAATCATTAAAATCATATTACTGAAAATCTGTATAAGACAAAAAAATGAAAAACTGTCCATTCCTCCTACGTTAAGGTGCAGTCAGTAAATTGGTAACTAATTAGCATATGAATAATTGATAATTAGCATATTGAATTGTGTGTAAACATTACAATACTATCGGTAATTGTTATTTTGCCAATTCAACCAGTGCAGTACAATGGATGGACAAGGAAAGACACTTACAGAACAAAACAAATCATTGAAAATGACACAGTCCCCGTTAAATTTTTGAAAGTTCTCTTTGTGCTCGTCACATTAAAGTGGAGGGGTTGTCACGAGCGTGTTCTTGAAACTTGAGTGGCATATACAACAGATTTACATCAAAACACGTGTTCCCTGTAGTAGTAATATGGTCAAAAATAAAAACAGCCATTATTTGGCCATCTTTGAACTGATTATGAAACACACTGATATGTATGATGTATGTGCCAAATACAAATGGTACATAAATTGTGGAAATATAGTAGTAAGGCCAAAAAGTCAGATGGCTGTCAATCGGCCATCCTTGACCAGATTTTGAAACAAATTGTCATGGACATGCATCCTAATATGTATAAAGTACATGTACGTGCCAAATTTGAATGAAAACCGACAGAGAATGTTCAAGATACCGCATATATAAAAAACAAAACAAGATGCCTGCCAGTCGACCATCTTTGATCCAATTGCGAAATAAATCGTAATAGACATGTATCCTAACATGTATAATCTATGTACGAAGTTTGAATGACAACTGACAAAGCATGTCCAAAATACAACATTTTCAAAAAACAAGATGGCTGCCAGTCGGCCATTTTGAATCGAATCGCTAAACCACTGCATGTGCATATGTCCCACATAAGGTACTAGACACATCCAAAGATTGAACAGAATCGGTCCACAGGATTCTGAAATATGACTCTGGACAGACTGACGCACGCACGCACAGACGGACAGACAGACTCAGGAACTCACGGACGGTCAGGGACATGTATCCTAACATGTATGATCTATGTACTAAATTTGAATGAAAACTGACAAACATGTCCAAAATACAACATTTTCAAAAAACAAGATGACTGCCAGTTGGCCATCTTTGATTCAATTGTGAAATAAATCGTCATGGTCATGTATCCTAACATGTATAATCTATGTACCAAGTTTGAATGAAAACTGACAAAGCATGTCAAAAAACAAGATGGCTGCCAGTCGGCCATTTTGAATCGAATCACTAAACCACTGCAAGTGCATATGTCCCACATAAAGTACTTAGACTTTGTCCGAACAGGGACTAATAAAATTTATTTGGTTATCATGCATGTCAGGTAGATATAATAACTTTATTGCCTCCATGTAAAAAAGATACATAGGATAAGTACAACAAAAAAGAGAAAATATTTTACACAAAAGAACGATATGTGTCACAGGTTGTTTTTTTTGTGAGAATTTTAGAAAAATCACAAATTTAAGACAACTTTAAGACAAACCAAAACATGTGCAAATCAATTTTAGAAAACAAACTCCATAACTTTTTCTTGGCCTTAGGTGTACTTTTTACTGTGTCATACAAATGCCATGATTTGCATTGAACGCCCATTGGCCCCAGTGTTCTACATTCAAGACAAACTTACTAGTACAGCACAGTACAGATTGTTTACAATCCAAATCACTCGCTGGCACAAATCAGTATTGCTTCCAAGCATAGCTGATTCTGATATATGTCTCTTTACAGTACATTTGTATTTCAGTTCATTTTTTTTTCACATAAATAAAAATCTGTTTTGAATAATCAAACCAAACTCTCCAGACAGTCTGTCACATAAATTGCAAACAATGCTCTGTGTCCGACATAACTGGTCTCCTAGCAACAGATGACTCCTCAATTTCAAACAGTTCACTGTAATCCATCCCATAATACTCATCTTCGTAATCTCAAAAAGAAAGAATGTTTACACTCTTTGCTGTCCTCTTCATAATATTTATCATAAAAGTCCAAAATAAATTCTTCTGGTTTGAATCCAAATTTCTGATAGAGCAGCATGGCGGGGTTGGTAGCTGATACATGCAAGGTCAAGTCTTTACCCATACACGTCTGCAAGAAATCATTAGACATACTGTAAAAATTATCAATTTTAACTCTTTTTGTGAAAACCTCACATGAAACTTGAGTGATATTCATTACAACTTTAGAAGGCTACCATTAAAACATATTACTAGATATATCACATGCGCCATATTTTATGCTGCTGTTGACAAAACAAAAAGACATGTCTGGTTTGCACACAAAAAAATGTATTCAACATCCATTAAAATTGTGATTTGTGAGCTGTTTACCATTGGTTGCCATGGTGATGAAATGGTTTTGTCATGTCTCAAAATTTTGTTCAATAACACAGGGTGAGAAAATATACTGGTAGTTAAAAGAAGGGTAATCATGGGGAAACGATTCCAAAAATGTTTATAAAATACATTGAAAAAAAATAAAAAATGCTTTATTTCAATTTTTCTAACAGTGCTGCTTTTTAAAAGTTGCATAGCAATACAATAGAATGTGAGTTTACTAACCTGTATTAGATGATACACCATAAATGTACCAATGCCAGCATTCCTCCACTCTGGGTGCACTAACAAAAATGATATATACGCCTCATTATACTTAACGTCTGGCACCATGAATCCAAAGCCTATCACAACCTTACGGTACAGGGCCACCACACTGAAATCTGGATACTGGAGGGTTTCCGATACTAAATGAAATGAAATTAAATGCTGCTTTAGTATTATTGTTATACAACAGACATTTCAGGCTTTTAATGATGATAACAGCTCACTGTCGAAACCGAGTTTACCCATCCACGCTAGTTAAAATATCTAGTAGTGCTTAGTACAAGCAACCTGACGATCAAAAAAGGCTCTGCTGTCCTAAAATAACATTGTGGTAGCCAAGTCGAGCAATGCAAAACAAAACCCAGAAAAAAGTAGTTTGGTTCTGGCTGTTGAACACATGTCATTTTAACTTTATCAAACAAATTTTTCATAAAAATAATATACACCACAGATATTAAATCAATTGAGTTGTTAGCGTTCAAGAAAGATTTAAAAATATAATTTTTCACAAAAAATTACAAAAATAGAGAATTAAAGATATCACAACGAAAAGAACAAATCTGGCAGAGGTCCAATAAAGGTAAATACATACTACAGGTAAGTATCAAAAGCAACTGAGCTGGTAACTTTCAAAAAGACATCGAAAATTATTTTTTTTACTAAAAATTACAAAAATTATATCGGCATGAAATGAACAAATCAGGCAGAGGTCCACTCAAGGTAACTACCAGTACCGGTACATACAAAGTATCAAAGCAATTGAACTGGTAGTTTTCAAGAAGACATCAAAAATAGCATTTTTTACCAATAATGACAATCATATTCGCCAAAAATAGAGAATTGAAGATATCGTCATGAAATGAACAAATCTGACAGAGGTTCATGCAAGGTATCATACCAAGAATCAAAGCAATTAAGCTAGTGGTTTTCAAGAAAAAATCGAAAATGTAATTGTTGACAGGTGACGGGCGAACAACGATGAATAATCACCTCCCGGTATATGAACAATCTCATCATCTTAAAAAAATAGTGCACCCATAAGGTACCATACTTTCAATTATTTCGATCATAAAAACATTATTCTACTTAAAGCATTTATACAAAACACAGCATAGCCCTCGTACGCTACATATCATTTTTATAGCATAGATCACTGAACAAAATTTTGAGATATGATGGAGTGTTTCTGCCATAGGAGCGAACTATACACTATTTTAAAACACACATTTTTGATAAATTTTCGAGGTCATTTTGTGGAAAACTTTATTTTTATTTCAGAATTTTAAACAATATAGTAACTCAACCCCTCTTGCTGGATTTCAAGGATTTCTGAGTATGTGTTTTTAATGGTAGCAAACTACCTTAACATTGTTTGTGCATGGAGGTATAAACAGTCACAACTGGTTTAAGATCAAAGGTTCCATGATCACTTCCGCCGTTTACTCAGTGATTATAATGTTTGCTCGTTAATCTAGCAACAAACAACAAGTTATCAAGTAAACATATTGTGGGACGGGGAATTTTAACGCAATGAAATTTTTGTATGAAAGAAAATTGCGTCTAATTCGCGTTTTCCTCCATGGTTTGTGATACTAAAGTAAAACAGACATGCAATAAGGTTGCGAAGATAAAGTTAATAAATATTCTGTTTCCCTAGAATATCAGGCAGAGAATCTCATAGCAGAATAAAATCACAGTTCACTTACAGTCAATACCGGGCCAGAAGAATTCCCTGCACATTACATTAACTGATGGTACATGATGTGGTCTAACGTAACAATAGTCGATGGGTGCCGGTGACGGTAGATCATATCCAGGTTCAATCCTGGTTCTGTAGTTCCAGATTTCCTGCATTAACACCATTTTCAATGGTCTGGACTCAAAATCTCTTCTTATAAACGGTTTTAATACTCTGAATAATGAAGAGTCACACATTATAGTTATACATGTATGGGAGTGAGGGGTGTGTGAGCATTACATCGTTTCAATATACAAAAAAATCATTGTATCTATCCACATATATTCAATGATTTATAAGATAATGGTTTAATCTGTTATGACATACATGAATTCTATAAAAACATAATTTGAAATCACGTGAATTGTGAAATAATCACAAGATAAGCTTTCTAGAAGTACTGATCAAATGTGTGTACATATTATTGTACATGGATATCTGTGCTGAAAACCACTATTGACTAAATCCATGATATAGAAACAAATGTATGGTATAAACGTATATTATTTTCAAAATACTATGACACCTCAAGCAAATACCTGCTGTCAGACATATATGATCTTAAAACAACTTCATATTACATGTTACCTGGCTGTATATGGACTACATATACTTTGCAAATTAGACTCCACTTCGCTTCCTATGAGCCTGGCCCTGAAAGATGAATAATGTACTTGATGCGCTTTCACTGTGTGCTGTGAAACCTGCAAAAAATATTTTAAAGAAGCATATGAGCTGGGTTTTTTTTACAAATGTTCATACTGTAAAATACTTTATTTTAGCTGGAATTAATTTTCGCTGAAAAAACTTTTTGGGTATTTTGTAGGGTATTTATTTTCACCGATTTCTGACGAGTTGAATGTAAACTATAGGAAAAAAGGTATATTCGCAAGATTTTATTTTCACTGAATCATTCCCTTCAACAAAAATAGCTAAAATTAGTTCCAAGCGAAAATAAAGTATTCGACAGTATTTACCAATATGATGTACGTGATACTGAGCTCAAATTAAATTCAGTAAATGCATAACTAAATACATTGACCAGCTATGTGCAAGATATTATCACAAATATGCACCATGGTGCATTTTAAGCAATTCTTGACAACAATCCACTGATATGTATTACATTTGAATGAAATCCATCCATCTGGTTAGACCATGATCTGGTTCCAGAATGAAAGAATTGCTTGATTTTCATGCATTTTTAATCATTCGGTATCCTGAATTGGACTGTGAAATGAACACATAAAGGTGACATATTCTATGATGTGAGTGAAAAATTTGAACATAACTGGTCTAAATATATTTGAGATTTACACACAGAGGTGCATTTCTAAATCCCTGTTTTTTGTGGAATTATCAATTTTAATATTTCTCAAATTTTGGGTATGAAGCTTTGATTTGAAGATTTCTACAAAGTTCAAAAATTTTCATAAAAGTGTCATGCTTGAGAAGACATTGGGGTGAAAACTAAATCAGTTGATATATGAAGAGACAAAAGGTAAGTGTTTCTAATCAAGTCAAAACATTTCACTTTTTACCAGTAGTAGCACCAGTAGTAACAAAATGAATACTCTGGCCACATACCTAAAATCTGTCTAAGACCCATGAGGTCTCAAACAAAATGAATACCCTGGCCACATACCTGAAATCTGTCTAGGACCCTGAAGTCCCCGGCATGTCTCATTGAGATATTGTATGGATTCAAAGACGTGATATTGTATGACGACAACAAAGACGTGATATTGTACGATCTATTAGCTGTGGACACATTACAGACTTTCTGCATACTCTTCATCATAAAATCATCCAAATCAAATATTGGTAAACCCCTTGCACGTTTCTCCTAAACAAACAATATCAAATATACATTGGAGATGACAATTATTCTCATCAAATCCTTAATTTTAATGACATTTCGGGCAGTTATCGCTCACCAAATTATGGCTATAAAGTAGGAAATAAGTGGCATGTCACTTGAGACAGCTTCATTACTGAATCTGTTGATTCACACAATTCAGAAAGTAGTTAAAGGAGGGCAGTTAGTCAAAACAACGGCCCAAGGTTTCTGACGGGTTCAACTATTACAACATGTAAGCGTCAAGTCAAACAATTATCAAACAATCATGTTTTTCTTATTTTTGATATTTATTATTTCATGCGTACATATGCTGGTTCATTTAATAAATTCTACATTGAACGTTTCCTGAAAATAATAAACCTCGTTGATACAATTATTCAAAAACGCCCCTAATACAATGGTCACTGGAGTGTCTAGGAATGTGTCAGGGGATGTTGAGAAATCCCTCGGTAATTGCCTACCAGGTGACAGAGTTAGGTGTACATAAATATCTTGCACCCGCTGTAAGATTTAAAATATGTGCTTTCCATACCTGTCTAATGAGTAGTTTTCTTCTAAGTGTTCTCACTTGAGGATTTTTTGCAACCGCATCTGAACAAGATTCTAATTTCTTCAACAACTGCTTTTCCTCGTACAGACTCATTGGTAAAATCCTAATTGAAAGGGGAGAGGAAAGTATTACATTATTTGTAAAAAGACAGCCTTGTTTCCGTTTTCGTTTCCGTTTCCGTTCCCGTCCCGTTTCCCTTCCCTTCCCTTCCCATTTCTATTCTATTCTATCAAAATAAAACTAAATTAAATTAAACTAAACAAAAAATAAAACTGTTCTGGTCTGTTCTATTCAGTCTGTCCAGCAGGCTACACACATTTCCCAATATATATGACAGACACAAGTGGGGCTGTGACTGAGTGACTGTGGTTGTGTCAATGCTGTCATTTCTCACATATGTAAGTACCCTGTCTGCTTTAAACCCAATGTCAATATACAGAATGTTGAGATAATAAATTGTGTCATTGCTATAGAATCTTGTACTGTATATGCATTCATTTCATAACTTGGTTTTCATTTTCATTTTTATTTTTCAGTAAATTATAACAGAACCTATTGTTCACTACCAAGTCTCTTTTAAACATACTCATTATTACAACTAATCGTTATTGCTATTAACAGAGAAACATTAGAAGTATTTCTAGGGATGCAATCAAGTTATTATTATTATTATTACTATTATTCCCATTATTGCATTCAGAGCAAAATACTTTTCAGAAATAATTTGCATTTACCAATCAAAATTCTATATTTTTTCTTATTCTTCCAGAAATGTATAAAGTAAACTTATAGATTTTTTTTACTTTTACATTACAAGGTGAAGCTTTGACCAATTATAATCTGGATTGACATGCATAACATTACAAGTGATTATAGACACACACAAGAGATTCATACAACAGTGCAGTAGTGCAATAAACTTTCCTACCTTGGGACTTCTTCTTTACTTGGCAATTCAGAATGTTTTACTCTTCTTGGTCTACTTGGCTCTTTTTTCTTCTCTACTATTTTTTCAGAAATTGTTTCCTCACCAGAACTTTCATCATCTTCATCTTCCTCATTTTTAACGATATCTTCTCTCTCGGCTGACTTCATGGTAGCAGCAGCCTTCGCATCGTCAACTCTTTTTTGCAGATCTTGCAGAGTGGAGGACATAGTGGTGGTTACCCCAGCAATTGACGATGTCACTAAGCCTGTTCCTAGATCAAGATCAAGGTCATCATCATCTGGTTCAACATCTCCTGTCATCAGAATGGCTGGTAATGTTGCTAAGAGAAAAGAAAATATAATATTCACAACATGTTTATTGTAATATTCATAATACAAATTCTAAACTTTTGTCTACTTATACTCTATTAGATTATTGATGCTAATTTTTAACACTAATTATCATAAATAGTTTTGATATAGCAAATCAGTGGATATCTTTCCTATAACCAAAAGTTGAAAGGGTGAACATCTGTGATGACATGCGATGACAAAAAACATGCTGGCTGACTGTGGTCTGGTCCTCAATCTAGAAGTACATATAAGACGTTTTAACAAAATCAGTATATATATAAGAAAATGAAATAAACATGTTTACAAAAAATTTAGAGAAGATGAAATCTTTAAAACACTACTGTTGGATTAAAAGAAACATTAAAAAAGAAAATTACATAATATATCATTATGATCATCACAGAATCTCCCTTGTCTTTAAAATTAGGTCAAACTCTTTAGATCTTGAAGGTAACAAAATGGGATGGAAAAATTACAGAGGTAATGGAATTTGTGGAGTCTGCAATCAGGGCAAAGAAGACATTTACCACTTTCTCTATCTTTGTAGGTCATCTAATCATATTAGAAATTAGTTTTATTTAACGTTAGAAATCTCACTGAGAAGCAATGTTGAATCTTCATCATTAATGAATAGTTTTCTTTCAGGGGGTTGAATTATAGGTTCAATTCCCTTTTTGGTGATACACTATGAACATAAATAAGAATGTGGAAAATACCTCATTAGCTTACGATATATGTACCTGATTTATGACAATATAGAAAAGAATTGATGAATGTAATTCAAAGATATGTATTACTGTTTTCATGCTGTCGATACAAATGTTGAATAAACATTATTATTATTATGTAGCTTGTTTGGACAAGTATGGCATATGTGATCATGCCTGTTTCAAGATACATGTATGTCAACAAAGGAATATTGCTACTGGGAATCAGACAGATAGTTGACTCGTGACATCGTGTGGCATGTTCCTTACCTTCTGGTGTGAGGTCACTCTCTGATAGCATACTGGATACTATAGAATCTGAACTGTCCTCAGCTCCAAGTAAACTAAGCACAGATGGAGAATCAGGAACTGTTGGAGTAGATGCCTAAGAAGACAAACACACACATACATACAGGTTGTAAAGAGAAAACAGGTCCAGGGATATCATGTCAAAATAATATGCAAATATTTATGTTACGAAATGTGTGTGCACATCTGTACTATAATTTACTAGTAAGCACACTGAATCAGCTCGAAGCTTCATTATTATTTATTGAGCGTACCCCTGATCGTTGTTGTAAATTCTCGACACATTCTTTGGAATCTTCCTGTCTCTTTGGTTCCACTTGTTTGGCTTTCCTGATGTCCTTGGCTTCCTAAAATAGTAGGAATAAAATTATTATCTCATCAAAGTTTCAAGATAAAAATTTGAGTTATGGTATTTTTTCTCTAAATGAGTGTATCAACTAAATTTTTTTTTCAATATGACGGAATGTGTAATTCTCGAAAAATAAATATGGGGTTCCTTTTATAAGACTAATATCACCTACCGGTATCATAATGCAGACCTGCATGGCAAGTCCAGTAGTCAATTAAAAATCATGACAATGTATTGTCCAAAATTAACAGAAATTGCAAAGAACATAAAAATGTGCAAAATTATAATATCCTATTTGGTACTTATAAGTTACAAACAAGTATTGCCAAACCTCCGTAATTAAAAATCATTTAACTTTTTTTTGGTGCAATATTTTGCCTATTTTTTTTTATTATTTGGGGTTAAATAAAGTTTATACCTGTGTTCTTGATCTTTTTTCTTTCAACTCAATTGCTGATTCAACTGATGTTGCTCTTTTTCTTGTCCGCAAGCCTTCTACTTTTATTGTTGGTTCAAATGGAATTCTTTGTCTTTTTAAAGCAGACATTTTGTGACCTGTTGGTGCTATGTCATAAAATAATATTGATTTGCATTATTACAGATTTAAATGGGAAGTAGTATGTGTATTTAGTATTCACTGATATCAGGTTTGAGAGGAGGTCTGTTTCGATCCAAGGCCCACCATGCAACATATTGTTAGTATCAGGTTTGAGAGGAGGTCCGTTTTCCACTAAGGCCCACCATCCAGCTTACTGTTAGTATCAGGTTTGAGAGGAGGTCCGTTTTCCACTAAGGCCCACCATCCAACTTTACCGTTAGTATCAAGTTTGAGAGGAGGTCTGTTTTCCACCAAGGCCCACCATTCAGCTTACCGTTAGTATCAGGTTTGAGAGGAGGTCCGTTTTCCACTAAGGCCCACCATCCAGCTTACTGTTAGCATCAGGTTTGAGAGGAGGTCTGTTTTCCACCAAGGCCCACCATGCAACTTACCGTTAGTATCAGGTTTGAGAGGAGGTCTGTTTTACACCAAGGCCCACCATCCAACTTACTGTTAGCATCAGGTTTGAGAGGAGGTCTGTTTTCCACCAAGGCCCACCATGCAACTTACCGTTAGTATCAGGTTTGAGAGGAGGTCTGTTTTCCACCAAGGCCCACCATCCAACTTACTGTTAGCATCAGGTTTGAGAGGAGGTCTGTTTTCCACCAAGGCCCACCATCCAGCTTACCGTTAGTATCAGGTTTGAGAGGAGGTCTGTTTTCTACCAAGGCCCACCATCCAGCTTCTCCAAATTCATGAGCGCCAGATTTGAAATGTACTTTGTTACCAGTTGATAAGACTCCCGCTACTGTTCCATGAAAAGTAGATGTTCTCACTCTGAAATTGTATCAATAACCAATGGTTAGTTACATTAGCCAATTTCAATGTACTGTAGAATACTTTATTTTCGCTTGGAATTTATTTTCGCTATTTTTGCTGAAGGGATGATTCCGTGAAAATAAAATCCAGCGAATATACTTTTTTTTCCTGTATTTCACATTAAACTCATCAAAAATCAGTGAAAATAAATTCCATACAAAATGCCTAAAAAGCCTTTTCAGCGAAAATTAAATCCAGCGAAAATAAAGTATTCCACAGTATACTGATATAGACACTTTATATATAGTCCCATATCTACAGCATATTGCAGTAACATTGCTTCATCCCATATGTAAAGGGTGAATGTCGACACGCAGCAACTATTTGAATTCCTTGTAAACAAACAATGTATTTACTCACGTTCTGTACATGTATGTTGCTATGAGTGGATATCAAACATGATGTGGTGCAATGACCACAGCCCTTTAATTAGAAATTCTAAAAAGTGCTTTGGTGTGAGCTATGTCAGTTATCCAAATAATTTGCATAGATTTGTGTCAAAATAAAAAATGTGATCATTACAACATTTTGTACTCTAGTTATGGCAGCTAAAAATAACAGGAATCCCCTCAATTGACACTTTCCAAGTTTTTTGTAAAGAAAAAAGTTTATTCACTTCCATCACAAGAGGGTTTACCATAAATTTTGTGTTCAAATCATGTTTTCGTAATTTTTCAAGAAAAAGGCATTACTGTGATTAACCTTGTCAATTACTTGTATAAATAAACAAGCCATGCATGGCACAGACCCCATTAGTTACCAAATTTAAGATATATAGTTTTGTTTATAGTAATATAGTTGGAACATAAACATGTCAGAAGTATGGATCCAGAAGATGATGCTAGGCATTACTGTGATTAACCTTGTCAATTACTTGTATAAATAAACAAGCCATGCATGGCACAGACCCCATTAGTTACCAAATTTAAGATATATAGTTTTGTTTATAGTAATATAGTTGGAACATAAACATGTCAGAAGTATGGATCCAGAAGATGATGCTAGATTATGATGATTTTTAACATTAAAATGATTGACATCTTGTATCTGATCATCAAATGAGTACTTGTCCATATTGAGAAATATTGCTCTGGAACAGCATTAATTAAAACAAAATGGCAACCAGTCAGCCATTTTGAATACATCTACACATCTATAACATGATGTAAAACGAATATATAAAATTTGAACATAATCAGTCAAAGCATATCAGAGATATGGCTCTAGAAGCGCATTCATTTAAACAAAATGGTCGCCAGTCAGCCATTTTGAATCTGAAAAATAAAATGACGTGCATCATGGTCCCATAATGTCCACAAAATCCATCCTTAAATGCTTGATTGTGATCTGCATATGTATACCGTCATATTATGTGTGATGTATGTCTAAAGTTTGATTGTGATTGGTCCAGGCAAGTCTAAGATACTGACGCACAAAGGTCAAAACACAAGTTTTTAATTATAAATTTCTTTTTAATGTAAAAGCTGTCACTTTACTACATTTCCACTATTCAGTTAAACAAAACATGGCAGCTCAACATCCCTGTAAAATCCAACACTGAAGAGCAGAAAATTTTATTTTGTGCACTATATTTCACTATATCCTTTTTATTTTTTGCAAAAGGCAATAGTGGGTTCTGTCAGTTCATAAATTTTAAGCAAATTATGTCAAACAAACCAGTTTTTAAGTGAGGAAATTTTGGATTCACAAAGTTGCCATGTTGATTTTTGATCCTACCATGTATGTTAACTCTGAATAATGTACATGTACATGTACTTTGTAGCATCCTGATTCAACAATGACACATTAGCAGAAGCAGAATGCTTCAAGTCTGAGAAAAGAAAAAAAAAGCAATATATGAGTGCACAAGTTTTGTAGATTCATAAAACACATGTGACATTTGCTGTTGTTGTGGCATTTGTTGTTGCTATAATTCAGGAACAATTCAAATTTAAAAGAGATCCAGGAGATTGAATATTGGGCTTTTAACTATACTTACCTAGCACCAAAAAATGTATGCCAGTTTTTATCAATAAAAGAACAAATATCCTCTTTCCACCGAAAGTATCCCATCCTTCCACTACTCCTCAAACCAAGATTGTATAAAGTCAATATAACAACCTGCTGCCTAACAGATACAGAAGAAACGATAAACTATAAGATGTATATTGGTACCGTGTAATGAGTCTACAACTTTTATATCTACCGGGTATATACAGGTATGCATGTACTGTAAAATAATTTATTTTAGCTGGAATTAATTTTCGCTGAAAAGACTTTTTGGGTGTTTTGTATGGAATTTATTTATGATTTTTGACAAGTAAAATATAGGAAAAATGGTATATTTGCTGTATTTTATTTTTACTGAATCATTTCTTCGGCGAAAATTAATTCCAAGCAAATATAAAGTATTTTACAGTAATTGAATACTACAGGTACACATGTAGTATACATTTTTGTAAGTGTCAATCAAACTCATTCTGACCAATAGCATCACAGAATACATTAGATGTTCCAAGAAGTTTAGTCGTGGAAACAGCAAGCAAGTCTGGCAATTGAAGGTAAAAAACATGTAATACTAGAAAAACGCCGATGAATCTATAATATTACAGTAGGGGTCATACAATAATTTTATTTAGTGGAATATAAATTAATGATCTGGTAAACCATTTGTATTACCTCGTAAGTGTTTCTCAGGGCCCCACAACTAACAAACATAACTCTAATCCTAACTTTGCCCCGCCAGCACCACTCCCCAATTATAATTGTATATGCCCTTCTAAATGCCACGTATAGTTATCTGGGGAGGCATATACAGTTACATTGGGGGCTTGGGGAGTGTTAGGGTTTAGTTTAGGGGTGGGAGGCCTTAAGGAACTCATTCCGTTTTGTTTTTTTCAAATTATTTGAACATTCTAAGATTGAAAGTATAAAATGGACGCCCCGTATTTTATACAATGTATTGTCCTACACCCCAGGCCTTGTAAAGAGGGGGGTTTGACAGCTAGGGTTACACTGAAAAACAACTAAATTTTAACGACTTGCTGGAAAGTTCCTACGCTGAGCGAAATCGCCTCTTTTCAGCCCCATTATGAAAACTGTGAAGGGACGGCCGTCACACTTTCAAGAGCTAACCAGCGGGAAAGTGTTCAATGTTTTTTGTTAAATGAGGTGTTCGTACGCAAGGGATTTTCTATGCAAAAACAATGAATGTGGTTGAATTTTAGTGGGGTTAGAATTTTACCTCAATGAATCGTTTGTTATTTCCCTCCTGATTTGTAGGAAATTGAAAAACAGGTTAGTCACACTTGGCTACAAATTTGGTAATAGTAAACTATTTTTACATTATCACGTCTCGCATAATACAGCAAATCATCTATGAAAGGAGACAGGCTACGTAAATGCATTCTATGTCTCCTATAAATCAGCACCAGCGAGATTCAACAGGCACCTGTTCGGTCAAAACCCAAAGCAGTTAGCCAATTTGCTGGAGAGTTTGCAAACTGACTGCCCCAATATATTTGAGACTTGCTGTAATCAGAGCACATTGGTCTCTTATAAGAACCACAGTAACATTTTCACAGCTACAAATTGTTTTCCTAAATATTAAGTTTTGTTTATGATAGTTTCACTAATTCAATATGAGCTATCATCTTTTAGAATTAGCATGTTTAAAGTGCCTGTGCAATGCCCACCTTCACGTTTCCCATTTTAGATCTGTGTCCCGCTGAAATGGGCAAATATTGATTTTTTTGCTGAAAATGATTACTCATATCCAAGTAAATTTGGGATATTTCTCGTGTTGTAGCCATGCCCACCTATCCTGAAACGGTCGACTGTTTCTGGATTTCCGACTCTCGCCGAAAGTGCGCCACCAAATGCCAAAATGTGAGAGGAAGTCATACCTCTGAGCCGTAATAATTAACACTGGTCATTCAGTATACTTTTAAACGATATACGGTACATTTTTCGGTCGGCGTTTTTTTTTTCTTTTTTTTTTGTCTATTATATTTATTTTTTTTTGAGAGAGAGTTTTTAGATGTTGTGTTATGGGCAGTTGCAGTGAAACGTATAGTCATAGTGTAAGTATTCACACGTTTCTAATCGATCCGAAAGTGCGACATCAGTGGACGAAAGCCACTTAACCTCAGTTTTTTTTTTTTGGAAAAACTGTCCTCGTCCATGAAAAAAATGACTAGGTTTAAAGAGAAACGCCGACAACATTAACCTGGCGCAACACTTTTGAAAGAAATAGAT